TTACTGAAAACTAATTGGTACCTTTTTTTTTTTTTTTTTTTCCCCCCCCCCCCCTTAATCATGTTTACAAGAAGTCTTTCAAGAGCTGAATTAGGATGTGACACTTCTCTGAAAACATGAGCAGCTTCTACCCAGCTGCCTGATGGGCTTGGCAGATGACATTGGCAAAACAAGTGGCTCATTGACTTTGTGAGGAATTGCCACCTTTCCATCACACCTAGGAATTTAACAGCTTTTACATCTCTCCACTTGGGAGACTGATATTTTGTCAGTACTTTTTCTCTAAAGTGAACAGAAAGAATATTATTTAATTGGTGTGTGAGAGATTCTGATTGCGTCTGCCTTGGCCTTTTATAATTTCATTTTGAAGTGTTAACATTACAAACAACTGTCATACTTATAAGTGTGTAGGTATTGCCAGTGCATAGGTTTTATAAATGGTTTACATTGTACAGTAGAAGTCCCATATTTCAGTACAGTTAATATTTCTACTCTCTTGGCCCTCAATATTACAAGAAGCTGAGCAGGGCTCTCAAGCGCGTCACTTCTTTAATACATCTTTGAGGATTCTTCTGAAAAAAGGTCGTAGAAGATGGCTGATAACTATCATTGCTTCCAACAAAAATGGTTGTCCTTCACTGAAGAATCTGTCAAATCAAAGGCTAGAATGGGTGCCATCATGGTGTATGCTAACTTGTATGACTAATGGTGCAAGTGTAATTTAAACTGCCCATACAAGATGATATTTCACTAACCACAAAACATTCACTATTTGCTAATTACAACTAGCAAGTTCTTACCAGGCTGATGTTTTTAATTAGAGCATATACGTTATTTTTTTTTTTTTAATGTTTAGAAGTTAGACAGTGCCCTCTCCTGGACATAGGCTCCCATAGCAGTAATCTGTAAAGTGCCCCAAATGTTGCCAATTAGAGAAAACGGACACAAAACCAGTGTGCTGCTCTGCTGAAGGGATTTGCCGGTTTCAAGGAAGTACACGTTGTTGTGGTCCCTCCTTGCATTTTGGTCTACTTGAAAGCATACTGTGTAACAAAAATTGTTCTCAGTTTAGATGGGAAGGAGCTTGTGATTAAGTTAGCTTGAACCCAGTTGACTAGAGTTGAAGGTGCAACTATATCGCGGTGAGCAGCAGGAACATGTAGTGCTATATATTCCAGTTTTTTACAAAAATCAGCTCAATACAATAAGAACATATTCATCTTCAGAAATGAGGGTGATGGATAAATATGCAGTTGCCGCTTACTTTTTAGGTGTTCTCTTAAATGTCTTTATTCCATTATTTCACAGTAAAAAATTATAATTATGCTAAGAAGTCGAAAGAGTTATTTTTCTCTTTATCCTTTCTTGAGGATGTTTTGTTGGTGTTTTTTTTGTTTGGGTTTTGGTTGGGGTTTTTTTTGGAAGGGAGGGGTGTTAATATAAAACCCCAATACTATCAGTTTGACTTAATAATTCTGATCTCATGCCTTTAGACTTTTCCAGGGTCCATAAAAAAAGCAGTTTACCCAGGATGTAACTTGAGAAAGAACATTCTCAAGATTTACAACATCTCACAGCAAAGGGGACAGGAAGAAATGTATTTCCCCAGTAGTTCATTTAAAACATGTATTTAAATTCCTTCAAATATAGCCTATAAAACTATAATCCAGCATTTACAGGAAAAATTAAATTAATGGCATAGAAAGCATTACATATCCATTAATCAAACTTCTATAGTTTTCAAATAACTTCTATAGTTTTTCTCAGCACAGAAAACACATGGAGAAAAGTAGTTGTGTAGGGTTAACTGTGAGTGATTTCTACTAATTGGCAGACAAGTTGTTTTATATATTAGCATAAACATGAGGCAAAGCAGCTCTTGTATTTATTTACTTAAATTTTGCATGCTTTCTAAAAATCTGCCGACTTCTTAAAAGCAGACTGCCCATGCAGAGCAGCCGCTCTGTGTGCCAAAACTCAGCATCCTCTGACAGCTCACTTCAAAGGTGCACTTCTAGGGAAAAATGCAGCCCATCCTACAGCATGCACTCACTCACATGAGGGAAGCTCTGGAGCAGAGATCAAGTTGTGCTCCCAAAATAGTCTGGCCACTCATAATATTGCCCTTCAGCCAGCCTTTGCCCATCATGTGTATCTGCCTGCAGCTGTGAGCACTTCTGCTCCACCAAGTGATCTCCACTGCCCTCTGCAAAGAGCTGTGAGCTCTGGAGTAACAGACCTCCTCATTAATGGTCACAGTTGGTCATTAGCTGGTCACTGAATCTTTCTTGATGACCCGCTAATGAAATTCCCACTGGTTTATTGTGAAGATTGGTCAAGGTAGACAGTATAGGTAATTTATAGCTGAACATCTGCCATGCTAATCACCTTTGCTCAGCAACTGTAATCGACACAGTACTACTAAGAGGCATTATTACATCCTTCTTAATTTATTTCTCAGGTGTAAATATTTCACATTGAATGGAAATTTTGGATTCTGTGTTTAAAAATATGTTTACATATTTTATTTAGGGGGGAAATTTATTTAAGAATTTAATGAGGAAACAAAGCCTTAATCTTACAAACTCTTTTTTTTTCTGACATCTTTTGCCCTTAACAAAAGATGTTTATTTTTTAAAAACAAACCTGTGCACATTAATATTCACCTGTAAAAGGCTCAGAGGCCCGCACAGTGCAAAAATCAGCTCTCCGTGTGTGTCTGTTAGCTTCAGGAACCTGGAGAGCTTTGATGGTTCAGCACCTGTGGTGCCTAATCTCTGTGAATCATGGGTAAGTTGGCCAGAAGCTACAGTCCTTCCAGCTGTGATCTTGCCAGCTCTTAAAAGCTAAAAAGTTTCAGCTGAGCCTTGACTTGGTGGAAAATCTCCAGAAAAAGCCCAGGAAGTGGTGGTGATGCATTAGGTAGCACTCTTCCCTCTAAGACTGGTACATAATGCCGTAGGGGTTATCCAATTATCACAGGAGCTTGCTTTTGCTTTAGGCATCCAGGTACCTTCTCTTGTTTCAAGACTGATCAGAGTCCACCAATGCTGTGGTTACTAGGCATTTCACCACCCTGAACATTTGCTAGATTGGATGACTGTGGCCAAGATACTCATAATACTTTAAGGTTTCATATTTTCATTTTCACATGTTCGTGTATCATAATTACAATGCAAAACAAAAACAAACAAGCAAAAAAAGCTAGTTAGTTTATATCTGCTATGCAACTGCTATAAGAAATTGGGTTTGCATCTGTTAAAATGTCCTGGGCACAACTAGGAAGTTTATCATGTTCCATTACAGGGTTTTGTGCACTTGAGTCACATTAAGTGGTATCCCAATGCTCATCTCATTCCCTGCAGATGCCTTCAAGATTGCAAAAATCTTTCTCAAATGGCAGTTCTTGAGCTGCATAGAGATTGAGAAGGTGGGTTTCCAGGGAGGTGTCCTGACCATTGATCCCCAGGGTGTGGGAACAGGAGCTGTGGTTGTCTTTAGAAAGAGAGTTTTTGGCCTCTCAGTTTACGTTTGGTAACTTCACTGTAAATGAGGTGAGATTACCAAAATGTGTCATTAGTCAGACATTCAATTTCATACTTTTTGATTATGAATGAGACGCTCCTCTCCATCGTAGTTTCAAGTACTGGGATACTCCTGTCTCCTTAGCAGGCATTGCTGGCAAAGGGTGTGGCACCAACCAGAAGCTCATGAAATGACCAAAAGCAACTCAGCTCCTAAACAGCTCATGAAAGCACCTGTCATGGTTCTACCCCAGCCAGCAGCTAAACTCCACCCAGCCGCTTGCTCGCTCCTCCCCAGCAGGATGGGGGAGAGAAATGGAAGAGTGAAAGTGAGAAAACTCGTGGATCGAGATAAAGACAGTTTAATAAGTAAAGCAAAAGTCGCGCACGCAAGCAAAGCAAAGCAAGGAATTCATTCCCCATTTCCCATGGGCAGGCAGGTGTTCAGCCATCCCCAGGAAAGCAGGGCTCCATCACGCCTGACGGGGACTTGGGAAGACAAATGTCCATCACTCCAAATGCCGCTGCCCTCCTGTTCTTCCTCTTCTGCAAGCCCCTTATAAGCTGAGCATGACATCATATGGTATGGAATATCCCTTTGGTCAGTTGGGGTCAGCTGTCCAACTCTTTGTGCACCCCTAGTCATCCCACTAGTGGGTTGGTGTGAGAGACAGAAAAGGCCTTGGCTGTGTGTAAGTGCTGCTCAGCAGTAACAAAAAACAAGTCAATATTATCAACACTGTTTCCAACACAAATCCAAAACCCAGCCCCATACTAGCTGCTATGAAGAAAATTAACTCTCAGCTGAAACCAGGACAGCAACATAGATGGTACTTGCCTTGATGTTGCACGTTTTCATGACAAGCATTTGATTCTGCACCTTTAATGGCATGGACATGAGAGTTCAAGGCAGATAGAGCAGCCAGATATTTTTACAGAAAACCACAAATCATTTCAAATAAATAAGACATTTATTTCATAATTGCTTATCTTCTTCTTATATAGCATCCTGCATTTGTTTCCATACTAAAAAGTAAATACGATGTTCAAATATTAATATGTCATATGTTTGAGAAGGACCAGGTCCTTACCCAAAGCAGTGTGTTTTTAAGGAAATTCATTGAACCCAGATGGACTTCTCATGGCATCTCGGTGCAGAATGAAGTAGTGTTAACATTGCATCTTTTTTTTTTTTCCCCCAGGAGCTGTGGTCAGTCAGCTTTAAAATCCTAAGATCAAAATTTGAAAGTGTAAATAAAATGTGAGTTTGGTCTCAGCAGTAATATAAACTCCATGAAAATACTCTCCTCAGGGGGGAAAAGACACTCCTTAAATCACAATACTTCCTTAAATCCCTGTGTAATTATCCACTGAAGAAATGCACATAGCAGTTTAGAAGAGTTGGTGGATGTTGAGACAAACATCTTTACAGCAGTGAATGGGAGATCTTTAACTATGTGGCTGTTGTCTAGTATTATCCGATCTTATCAACACACAAAACACGTGTGAAGTACCTTTTCGACCCTTGTATGCGCTCTAGATGAAACCCCAAAGCCAAGTGGTAGTAACACAATGTAAGACTACACAATGAAAATAAACCAAACTGAAGGTATATTACATTTTTAATTTTCACTATAGTAATTAAGTAATGCTGCACACGCGTAGAATTTCTGCTGCTCGCTTTATGTACCTTAATGGTTATTCCCTTTCATACAGCAAGACGTGTCCCACAATGTACAGAATGAGTTCATGTGTTCATCTTTCAAGTTTCAGTGTTTAATACTTTCCTGCTAAGATAATGTAGCAATGAGCTCATATCTTTCTACTGGCTGTCCCTTGGAAACAGTACTGGCCTCTTTGCAGAAGCCATTGCAAAGCTGAACTAACGCAGATGTGATTGCACATCCATTTTACCTAACCTTTATTTGTTTTCAGAGAAAACATGGAAATCTTTGGTTAAGTTAGCTCTTTTGAAAAAACATAGTCTTTAATTTCCTTACTAAACATAGAAAACTTGGTGAAAGAATACAACATTGAATCCTGTTCCTATGTAACATTTAATTTCATTTTTATTGTATTTATTTTCAGAAAATATATTGAACACAAGTGCAAGACAAGTAGGTACTTTTGGACATTTTGAACAGCAGCTGGAAATTGAGGGTCTCTACAGATATTTTGGGTTTTTTTTTAAATCAACAAAAGCAACTGATTCAAAAATGAAACTTTTGTTACAAATTTTGAAATAACATATTTTCTTACATTCTTTGTAACAGGCAGTTCTGCTAATCTAACCTGCAGAGCTTTCTTTGGGTATAGTGGAGATGTCAGTCCTTTAATCTACTGGATGAAAGGGGAGAAGTTTATTGAAGATTTGGATGATAGTCGAGTTTGGGAAAGTGACATCAGGTAAAAGAAAAAGCATTTTGTTTTTTCCGTCAATATCTTTTGTTGATAATGTAATACTTGTTATCATCGACTAACTCAGGAACACTTTGGTCTGATCCCTGCTTTTGCAACATCCATTCTTTACGTTTTGAACTCCACCAGTAAAGAACAGAAAAATGCATCACGCCTCGGCCACATCTGATGTTAGAGAGCTGCAAAAACAGAACAGCTGCCCGACAAGTACCATAGTGTTAACGACAGGAATTTGCATAGTGACTTTTTCAAACTGTGACAATCTACAATAACAAGCATTAAGGCAGTTACTAACATGAAATAAAGATAAGATAAATAAATACATCAAGAAAAACAGCTCAGAAGAAGTCTTTTAAAACATGGAGCCTTAAATAAATGCTGAAGTCTGGCTAGTTTTGATTTCTTTTCTTCAAGAAAAAAAAAAAAAAATAGTTTCCTGGGATGTTATCTGGCCTGTGAGAGCCAAACATCCAGTTATGTGGGCTGCTTGTATCTGCTGAAATACTTGTTTTAAAGAGGATCTGGCTATTCGCGTCATGTACTTCTACAGCTCGTAAAAGTGCTGCCTCATTTGGAAACTAAGAAAAAAGTGGTTTTCTATTGAGAATTACATACTTGACCTAGTGTTCCAACTCCTATCCAATATGAGGTATCTACTTGGATCTGAAGAGATTCCTTTTTCATTTACAATTCTGTATATGTGTATATCACTGTGTCTATATATCACGGATAAACCCAGATATGAAGGTAAATCTAAATGTGCATTACAAAGGCAGCTAAATAATCACAGATCGTTATCTACAGTGATTGTCTATAACAGAACAAAATGAGCTTATTTACACTGCCCGTCTCAGATAGGAGCTTACTATCTCATCAAAAGATATGAAGTCACACTCCTTTTCGGCTGAACCTTGGATTTCTTCAGTAGAACCAGAGTAACAGAGACAATTCCTTTAACAAAATCAAGAAGGCCACATAGACATTCAAGGTCATCATCCCCAGATATAAGCAAAAAGGAAGGGTAATTCACCCCAGTGTACTTTAAGTTTATTCTGTAAGTTTGTTCAGCCAGAGACTTAGCATTCTGAAGGATGACAAAAAGGTGACAAGAACCTCGTTAAAACTTTCTTGTTTTGTGGAGGGAGGATCAGGAAGGCTGGTTTCCACTTCTTTTGTCAGGTGTGATGTGAGGGAGCAGCCTGGAATGGTTTGTCATTTGCTTCCCGATATGTATTTTCTTTCATCTGAATGAATGAGTGGCATCTGGTATACCAGTTCTTTCTACCGATTTATAATACGTAGTCAAGTTTTATCATACATTCTAGAAACAATTTTTCAGGCTATGGCATGAACGCGGTTTTTCTGAGTGGCATGTTGAAGACCCTCAGAAAGCGCACAACGTGTTTGGCCCAAACTCCTAGTGTGACCCTAAAGACCGTAATAACTGTTTTCACTTTTCTCTCTTCTAACATTTCAAGACTTCACATAATACTGATCAGGGTCTCCATCAGAGTGTGCAATAATATATTATCAGTGTGTATATCATTCTGCTTAAAGAAGACTATTAACTGAAGCTCTCATTAACATTTACAAAGCCAAACCTCCTCATTAGAAGTGAGGAAGAAAAGGGCATGATATAATTTAATTAAGATTGCATCAAACCATAGCCAAATTTGAAGCAAGAGAGCTGTGAATTGTAAGTAGCATTATTATGTCATGATTATCTAATGCTCTGCTATGATACAAGCAGAATAGCAACATTGGTTTCTTTTTTCTCAGGGTTCTCAAGGAACATCTCGGGGAACAGGAGGTTTCCATCTCATTGATTCTTGACTCCGTGGAAGAGGCGGACCTGGGGAATTACTCGTGCTATGTCGAGAATGGAAATGGACGCCGGCATGCCAGTATTCTTCTACATAAAAGGGGTAAATATGCAGCTTTTCTCCATGAAATGATACAATATAGGGGCGGTCAGTTTTTAGAGCTTCTTTCTGATTCAAGCATGAATTTTGACTTCCTGAAATATTAATGATCAATGATTAATTTTCCCCAGGCATTTACATTGTTAATTATGGTCGCCACAGGAAAAAATACAGTAACACCTTTTAATTATATTTATATGAAAGATGCATTTAATAATTCCTTAACTTTAAAACCAATAAAGGCTCAATAGAGAAAAACATAGTAGGAAGCAACAGGTAATACAACTGTAATAATTTTCTGTAAGAATAAAATAAAATCTTAGAAAAGCCCACAAAAATACATTCCACTTCTATCAGAAATGGCATCTAAACCCCACGCCAGGGGATTTCCTGCGTAGCCTGACTGTAGAAATTTTCCTTCTAACACATTTGTTTAACACCAACATTTCTGAAGTGAAGCACGATGACAGAAACTTCTAAGGACCTTCCTGTTTCTACTCACCACTCACATCCCGTGATTCTAATGGCCACAGCCATCTCCTGCGGAGATAATTACAAGAGGTGGAGAATCTCTTGCAAAGCGAGGTTCCCAGATCCACTTTGTTCACTTTACCTCCCAGACGGTGCTCCACATGCCTGGGCTTGACGCTCCCCACCCTCCTGCAGCATCCTGCTGGTTTAAGGGAGAGCAAAGAATAATCAGGAGCAGTGTCTGTACTTTGCTGTCATTACTGTGCTTTAAGACTGTTTGTAAAGGTGAGCAAACTGGGTTCTTACTGTGGTGCTGAACTACTTGTGGCATCTCAATTTATACCAAAGCAGTGATGTCTTCCCTAATTTTAGTCTTGTAGCATGCAAAGTCTGTCTAAGTTTAAAAGGAAGCCATAAATCAAGATAGTGTGACTCATCTATTTAAATGTATTTTTGTGTACCTCCAGTTAATAGAATAGAACTAATCTGTAGCCATTTTTCTGAACTCTTGTCATTGCTTCTTAGGAGATTCAGATGTAAATACCCAGATGTTCTGCTTAGCCTGGCATTCGCCATATTTTCTTGAATTTGCAGAGATGGGAAATTAACTTAATAAGTAATTGAACCTCAACAATTTACCAGCTAGTAGTCATATGCTTCTAATTCAGAGATGTTTGAACCCAGAGCAAGAGCTTAACCCAAGAAACACTGAAATCCAATGGCTTGTCTTTAATAATGAAATTAGTGCATGGAACACTGAAAATATAAAGAAATTTTAAGGCTTAAATTTCTTTAAAACCAGTACTTAATTAACTGATGTGTTTTAAGTCACATGCTGATGATGAGTCCTTATTTTCCCCTCCATACAAGCAGTAGCTCCAAGACTGACAACACATAAGTCTTTTCTGTTCTGTGACCACCAGCTTTTTAATTTAACAGTGTGCATGCATAAATTTTGCAAGGGTCTATTTTCCTTGCTTCCTTTCTTGGAGAAATCATTATGTCAAACACACCACAGTATGTGGCCTCATGATGACATGCTTAAGAGGAAGTAATCTCAATATTTAATTGCCCTTATAAATAGTAAAAAGCTAAAAATAGCAAAATCTCCCCCAAATAGTATTTTTTTTCCTCCTTAAGTAAAGCTGAATCTGAAATTGTGATTTGGAAACAAAATCTGTTGTGCCCTCGTAAAACAAAAGGTGCCTGATACAAGCCTTCTACATACTTTGCATGTTGACAACAGTTTCAGTGAAATGATAAATTAACCATGACAGATAAAAATTTGAGCTAGTCTCTCAGGTCTCCTAGGAAGAGGAGCTTTGCAGTGCTTGCTTAGTCTCCTGTATATCACCATGACAACATTTCGTTTTAGGTTTCCTTGTTTAGATCCACATTTAGTCTCTGCTAGGAATGAGTTAGCTGTTTATTAATTTCTGATTATTGGCTCACTTAGAATTGGGACCTAATAATTAGGTAAATTTGCTTCCTGAATACGGAGGCATTTGCAGAGTTATTAGTTTTGGTTGATTTTCTAGTTAGCGATCTTTTTTCCAGCAGTATAAGCCAACAAAAATGCTGAATCTGGAATGTTCACTGGATACCTGAAAAAGAAATTATAATCCTTCTTAAACTCCGTATGTGGTACATTATCACCAGGTTGAGAAGGGACAGGAAAGCAGAAAGCTCTGTTACTGAACAAAGAGTGTTCCTGGGAAAAGAGGCATTTAGGGCTAAACACTGCAGTGGGGATTCAGGTACAAAATTTAAGCTTTCTAAACATCCTTGCAACGCTGCTTCGCCCTGGTCAATATATTCTCTGTAAACTTAAACTTCCAGGGGGAGCTTTTAGATATGCCTGCAATTACACACGCCCTGAAAGGGCAGGAAGTTCGGACTCTAAATCACCGGCAAAAACCTAGATGCATCTTTCTCGCTCTTCCCACCAGTCAGTCCAGCAGGGATGCACACCCCCCTTACAGAAAGCACAAGCTGGGTCCATCCAATGGTCCCCACCACAAACCAGCACCTGGCACATTCAGCTGGGGAGAGGCTGCTTCTGCTCTTTCTCTGGCACGACACTGGAATGGAAACCTGGAGTCTTCCCTTTCCCGAGAGGAATTTTGGGCGGGAAGCAGAACAGAGCTTCCCTGGAATCCAACACCACTTGTGCAGGAAAAGCAAACCCAGTTTGGGAATCCAGCACCAGGAGAAAGCTGGGGCCCCTGGCACCTCTCTCTAGCCCAGATGCCAGCGCTTCACATCTTGGGGAGCTGAGCCTCAATTTACTCCTGAGCTTTACTTTCTGACTCCCAGTGGAGAAAAACCTCTGTTTTTGTGCAGCCGTCTAATCAGTGATAGACTCCTGACTCCTCAGACGTTGTGCACAGGGAGCATTTAACTCAGATCTAAAGGCAGTAGAGCATTTTAAGCATGAAAATGCCAATGTTGTTTCCTTTTCTGGTCCATTTCTGCAAAATTTGTCCAAAATTAATCAGAAAAAGAGAGGGATCAGAACCGAGGAGATTTAACATTCATTCACTTCCTCCAGCTGTTGGTCAAATCTCTATCACGTTTACAATAATCAAATTATTTTGTCTTTTATGTGATAAACAAAAAAATCTACTTGTCATAATCTAAAAGGCTGATTTTCTTATTGTTGATAGCTATCATCGATCATCTGTAGCAGCTACAGGTTAATATTCAGCCACGTAGAGGAACCTTCTAGAAATCAATTTTGAGAGTGGTACTGACAGCAGCTAAACACAAATTTATTAACGATAGACCACATATTGCAGATGATATAAGGGGTGTATCACACACTATACTTCTATTTTTTTCACAGGTCTTTAATTCAAGAAGATAAGCCCATAGTCTATCAATAAAATGTAATGCATAAGTAGAAAGAATGCTCCTCTGCTATGTTATGTATTGAAAAGTATGACTTTCATGCTGGATCAAAGCCTTTGTAGTCTCATTTAATCATAGACTATGTTGAAAATACAGATTATTATATAATTATGTGATTATTTTTGTGGAAATTCTTGTTTGAATGTCTGCAACTAAAACTCTTAAGCAAAAATAATCTCAAATTCTATCTTGGCATTATTTTGTAATGTTATTGACATGATTTTTAAAACTTAATAATATACCTGTGTTTTTCATGGGTTTTTCACTAGAACCAAGAGCAGGTAACAGAATTTAAGGATTTTTTTCAAAGTATCTCCTTCCCTTTCTTCCCATTTTCTCAGTGCCATCTAATTTCCTATCCTGAGCCTCTTTTATGTTTTGGGTTTTCCTCTGTCACAGGTGTTCTCAATGGTCATATATGGGTCTTATTGACTATAAGCTAATGAGGGATGGTTAAAAGAACTTTTTTTCTGTTGGGACAAAAAAAGATTTTCACTGAAATAAATTGTTTAGAGGAAAATCTTTATTCTGTTGGAAATTGCCCATGAGAATAGATTTGAAAAAGAAACAAGTTAATATTTCCTACAGGAAATACATCTTGAGGAAACCTACAAATAGGTAGGCATACTTTGAACTCATTTATTAATGCATAAACATCATATTAATATTTACTGTACAATTTAATAGCAAATTCTGAATAGGAAGTAGTTCTGAATTTTCTTCATATGGTTAATAACGATAACGGAATTGCTGATGAGCACCTGAAATTACGATGTCATTCACATAATAGTGTAAATCTGTTTTATTACTTAAGGACTTGACTGTGTTAAGTTTTTTGATCTCATAAGTGTTTGCAGTCACTAAGACATGATTTCATACAGTGGTAGTGATGAGTGACAATTAAGACTTAAAAGAGAAAAGAAACGAGTTCTTTTCTAACCTCTGCAAAGAAATCGCAGGTGTTATAGCTTCCTTTGCCGTAAAACTTCACAATGCTTCTGAAATTTCTGAATGGGAGCTCATAATGTAAGCTATGAGAGCAATGAGTTTTATATTTCAACTTCTGTTAATTGGTCCTAATTACTTGAACATTCCAGCAAATCTCTGAGTCTCAGTGGAAGCAAAACTGTTGTAAAAATCTGACCTACTCTGTCAGTTAAAACCTTAACATTTACATCTTCCAGTGTATAAAGCATTCAGTTTTTATTCTGCACTGCAGGAAAACCTTTTCTGAGTTCCTCACCAGGTTTTAGAATTAGAACTTAAATTGGATTTGATTTGACGGGAATTGATTTTTCATCCTCTTATGGCCATTGAAGAAGCTCTCAGGTTGTCACTGTGCTGGACAGTGCAAAGGTTCAGTCAGCCAAGGGGTTCATGACATAGGGCCAAAAGTCGAATATCGCCTCCCCTCTTGTCCCAAACCTAACCAAAAGTGACTGTTCCTTCTATACTCAATATCTCATCTAAAATCAGTAAATTAGTAGAATACTAAAGACTACTGCCTGACAGAAACTTCGTAAGACCGTTTTCTTCATACGTAAGGTTTTTCTCATCCTTTAGAAAATTGGACTAAGACTTATCCAGTAAAGAGGTTAGTCAGATTACTTAGCATGCGCCTA